AATAAATTATAATTATAACATGAGTATAAACCTATTAGAAACCGCTTATATACTCCACATAGATACATAATTATGTAGGTACATTATATTGAGAATGCATACCTGTTGAAGCTTTGAGAGCCGAACAACATCATCCGGCCTCATCTGTTCTACAAATGGCAATGTTAAAGTGAGGCTTAGTCCATGTTTACATAATACATTACTTCCTGATAGTGAACACTGTGAGGTGGTATGTCAGGTTGTGGTTTTATAGTTTCGACTCTTGTACGGTCTCTCAGTCAGTATGGAACATGATCTTCATCATGGGAAGTAAGCTAAAATAAGTAATATTATTAGAATATGATATTGACTTTAGATTACACTGTATATAGATAATAGTATGGTTAAATTATGCTTTATTACCTCTTGTGGCTGAATCCAATCAAATACTATATGAGCCAGTCTTTACTCCTGTTTGTTGGCGCCTTCAATTAAAACCCTGCGTCACCTTATCATTGCAATGAATCACCCATATACGACACAAACATGCCAGTGACCAATTTGTTTGCTGGACATACTTTCAGCAACATCCCGATACATTGCTAATTGCCAGCAAGCATTGCAAATATGGTCGGTAGGAGAGATCTAGAATAAAAAGAATAAAATGATACATTATGGGTAGATAACACTATGCGCCTTCTTTTATTCAGGAACATGGTGACTTTCGATATGTTATGGGTAAACTAGGTACTTACATCTCTAGGATAAGTCCACATTGGGATATTGTTGACCACGTCTAATCTTCACTCTCATTTTCTAGAGCATGCCGTCTCATGTGCGACAAACTCTGAATGCAATTAATACACTGTAAATTCATCATCGCGACAAATAACAACACACTGCACAAATAATGTAAATAAGTGTCTTTTCGCAATTGTCACAACAATGATGCCAATAATACCAATTTGGGCTACGGAGGAACGGTTGCCAAACTCAACGTATCACCAGATGAATAAAATAACTTCAAATTCAACAAACACATCATAACATCGCATTTGAAACAAACAGCAATGCGCCAGTATTGACAAATTAATTGTCAATGTCATCAAGACAAATGCCAGTTCAACATTGCCATAATATTCAAGTTTGTTAAAATGTTAATTATCATTAATAATCCATGTAAACGTAGATTTAGATTGGATGTAGATTTTTATATTTACTTATAAAAATGTTTGAAATGGAAAGGAAAATATTTCATTGATAGATATTAAAATAAATGAGTTTATGAAATAGCGAAATTCAATATGCTCTGATTTCATCTTTACGCATGACAACTTTGTAAACGTCAATCGCGGTTCGTTTTACGTATAGTGGATTGCTTTTTATCATTATTGAATATCAGTTTTTCTAGGGTTTACTAGTTTTAAAAATCTATTAAATATGCTAACATAACGTACTTAGGAGGTTCTATAATGACCCAATTTTTTAATGACAAATCTTTTTTTAGCGAAGCGGTACAAAATCTGCCGTTCTCCTTTGCAAAGGCTTCATAATGATATTCTTGGCGTGTCTTTTTATTATTTTTACTATTGTATACGTGGCTAGATTTTGTATTGCGTCGCTAGAAATTTGGCACCTTTCATATACCATGATTATCGGAATACTATCATTAACACATGCAAGTGTTGCATGATAGCTGGTAGATGGTGTACTATATTACATTCTCTAATCTAAATACAGATTAGATGGCAAAAACATATTCGACCTTGAGTGATGAGCATCGAACAACTCTGCAGGGAAGATTTATTATACCGAGAGATAAATGTTACATCGGTATCGGGAATTTATGGGAGCATGGACATTTTGTCGAGCTTTATACGAAACGAAAATTGTCTACGCTAAAAAAAAAAGATATTTTTGTTCAGTCGCTACTGAAAACAAAATTGGATTGCTATAGTCGGGTCTTTCACCTTACCATAGACTTTCGAATAGTTATATTATTGCCTGTAGTAAACTGTAGAAAGGGCAGAAGCACCAAACATAAAACAATATTTCACGACGCAGGTTGTAAAGTTAAAAGATCCTTGAATTGTCAAATTTTGACCTTTGATGGCATATCAATTTAATTTAACCTTAATAAAATAATTATGCATAATGTATGTTCCATCGAACTCGCGAGGAATACATTGGTAACATTGGTAGTTTCTTTTACTTAGCATTCATACACTTCTTGAATGTTGATTCGTAATTTCGATGTCTACGTAGCTCTATGCTAATTTCGGAATACAGATAACACATTAACTCGTAAAAAAATAAATCAACAGAGTCTATTTGCGTTCGTGAATAGAAATCGAATAGGAATGAATAGAGCTCCAACCCATGATATTGTGTTAACAATCGAGATTAATTTCAATCAAACCGAAGGCTATTATAATATCAATACATGCCTTTTAGGGATACGTAATCGTGATACATGTATTCTACTCTGTTTATTTTGGCGCCGCCTTGTTTTAATTTGGAACCTAATGTTTTCAATCAAATAAGGACAGGCTCATCAAATTAATGCTTGTTTGGCACCTACGTGTTATTTATTACTCTATGTTGATTAGTAGGCTTTATTTACAAAAAAAAACGAATGTTACTAGAGGGATACATACGAACCTCAAACATTGACGGTTCAGTAATGCGTAACTAGTTTACTTACATAATGTTCTTACCTAACAGATTAGCTAGCTATTTACAGTGACCGCTAATCTTCAGCCAATTTGAGGCAATATAACATAAATATTTCTGCAGCGGGAAGCTTTCCACCCTACTGTTATTGATTACACGTGACCCGCCGCCTCAACCTAAATACGAGCAATAACTTTTAAGTTATGAATGTTCTGCCCAGTCCTGTTCGTGTGTTTACTCAGTTTTCCGGGTTGGAAAATGTCATTGTTAAAATTCCAGTTGTGTTATGTTTCGTTTCCTATTATGTATTTACTTTAACAAAATATGTTCGTGTTAAAGGAGTGTATAGTCAATTGTTATCCTAAACATTGCCCTTTCAATTCCTTCCCAAGAAGACAAATTTTATCATTAGCAAGAGCATCTGCAGAATATATTAATTATTCTAATCTCCTAGTCTCTGGGAATAAACATAGTACTTCAATCCATACAAAGTCCCGACTAGCGAAGCTCTATCCAAAGACAGGTAGCTGCACGGTTGGATACCTACACGATTATGTTTAACTTTGTTAGCCAGACAAAAGTACGTCATGTTATTGAATAGACCTTTCGTGTTTTTCCAGCCAGTGATTATATCAGAGTACCCACGCTTAACGTCCAACTAAGTCCTGTCTTTTGTACTATAATGAAATATCATTAGCACTCGTGATAATTTTCATTATACTCGTTCTTTGTTGACTGTGTTATTTCAGTGTATGTACTGATACGTTCTACACTTATTTACCCTACGTACTAAATGGAATGTTGATTACAAAATGTATTTCTCGGTATTTTTTCAACAACATTGGCGATCATGATGATCTTACTGCGGACGTGATACGCCTAACAGAGCAGAGGATTATTTATCGCTGTCCTATAGGTGAAAAATGTCTAACCCACATCAATTATCAACGCTCGACCCTCCAGCAAAACAATCTAATATCAGTATTATCAATGAACGCATTTCTTTTGGTGTTCACCAGTTGGCGCCTCTGTCGTAAAATGTATTGTACCAATCGCATTTGTTGTCAAAAAGTTTATTTACCAATCAGTTGATTACTCTTCGCTATTGGTCCGGACAGACGCAGGCGATGCAATATCACTCATTATTTTGTGCTGACGTAGTCGAATAAAAACACATCAGCTGATTATTGCAATTATACGTAATTTGCACTCGTCTGAAGGAAAGGTTATCTCTGAACATATCGCATTTATCGAATAGGCATAGTTAATCTTTCTCATGGCCCTTAATTATACTGGGCTGATATTGACTCGCAGCTAAGGCCGCTCATTCGATGACCAATGTACCGACATAATTAAATAATGATGGTAGAAAGATGCGATGGAAATAGTAGCAAAATTGCATACGGGCGCCATTATGTAATTAAACTAATCTTCAGACTGAAGTATCCACTCAAAGAAAGACCATTGCTAGGCTTTGAGTATTCCATCTACGTTTATTGCGTTTTTGTTCAAAGACAAGTGGACAAAGTGCCCTTTATAAGTCAGAAGTACATAGAACATAAGGTTTAACAGCTTCATTCAAACGTGTATTCGCTGTAATTAAAATGACCACACCAAATACAGACAATATGTTTAAATAAACCTAAAGCCCATTTTGGACAGACTATTGTTGACAAATTATACTATTGTTCTAACAGGATTATGTTAGAAAACGAAATTAGTGGACGTTGAATACAAGATGATTATAAAACAATTATTGACGTATTAAACAATTTCGTAGTAAGTGATTTATTTATCCAAATAATTCGTATTGTCATTAGATAAAGGATTTTCTTGTAAGTTGTTTGAAAGTCGCCGGTTTGTTCTCCCATTTTTCTCGAATACTTTTAAAAGAATAATTAGGGTCAAAAGAAGATTCTTCTTCTGAACCAAAAAGGTTGCTTACGTCTTCATCAATATTTATGTTACTTCGAACTTATCTATGGATCGGTACTTTCGTGTCCTATTATAAGTTTTTTTAGCAATATCCCCGCAACGATTGTTTATTCTATCTCTGTATGTGGTATGTCCTTGTTTTTCGTTGAGTTTTATGACCTTCAGCCACGATTGGATGATTCTCAACATTAGGTCAAGTACCTAATGTAAATAATTGAATGTTTGTTCTATCTGCATTTGTTTTTTTTTTTGGTGATTTTGCAAATACTTGAGCTTCATGAGGATGTATTGTTTGGTGTTACAGTATTGGAGGCGAAATAATATCTTTTCTACTAGGCTAATAAATGTAGCATTCTTTATTTTAATTTTGTATCATAAACTTCCTTTGCTTACGTGATCTTCTATCTTTGCAGGCAAAGGAGATCCTAACGAAGGAGTCTAACGTCCAGGAGGTGAAATGCCCGGTGACAGTTTGCGGGGATGTCCACGGACAGTTCCACGACCTGATGGAGTTGTTCCGTATCGGCGGGCGCTCCCCTGACACCAACTATCTATTCATGGGCGACTACGTCGACCGCGGATACTACAGCGTCGAGACCGTCACATTGCTCGTCGCGCTTAAGGTACAGTAACAACAATGTGTATAAAACAATCGATGTATGACGTAATGATATTCAGCGAAAGTGTGACGAGTGTATACGTAGGTCCATGCGACTGGCCGGTGACGAAATCAGGGCTATGACTGTTTGTTACCTGTAATTTATGTGGGGAACTAATGACTGACGCGTGACGCTGACCACGGGTATTTGTCATCTTTATTGGTGTAGGTTTTCTTGACACACCTATTTTGAAGTGTTGTTATGGGTGATATGAATTGGAGTCACTGCCTTACCATTAATAGCATATACAAAGTAGATTAGAATGAATGTCAAATAACAAAACAAAGCACTTACATCCGATCAGACGAGTAAGCATGACAAACCTTTTATTTAGCTTGACTAACGCACCAATTCGCCTACCAGTTCACCATATTTCCATAGACCGGAAACCTTATGCTATAAATAGCTTTTATACTCCTTTGCTTCCACGCAGGGAGTTCGGTACATTATCTGATTCTGTAACTGTCTGAGCTATGTATAATGTGACAATGCGACACTTGTACACGCAGTCAATGTACTTTCCCAAGCAGAACTAACAGTAAATACATGTATAAGACATCGAATATACGTTTACTGCCAATGCGTTGCTACGACCTGATATTTGCTATCACAATACATTTTCGCTAAGTCTAAATAAAACAAGGTACCAAAGTCACCTTCACGAAGTCTACGTGCAATCGTGATTTTCGCGAAAAAAATAATTTACATGTCGGTTCAAATGATTACGTGACTCGGAGCAAGTAGAATTTGCTTTGATAAACGCAACAGAAGCAACTGTATGCTGCCCCACAATTGTATCAACATCTCCAATTTGTTTGGAACAGATTCCGTATAATCGATTTAGAATCGATGAAAAATAAAAACACGTAGAGATACGTTCATAATTCGATTTTGTAGTCTGTACTCCTACACGTAAGCTGGAGCTATCTCTTTCCTCGTATACTGAAAATTCGTAAACACTTTCTTTGTCTGTTACAATTTGGTGTCACGTGATAAGGAGCGCTTATCACCCGGTATCTTTGATAAAGTTCGGTCACTGTTTACATAGTCTTATCAAGAGATTTTCCGTGTAAGGCGTGTTGTAATTATAATAAGTCTAATAGTACATACATCTTAATGTACAAAACTAAGGTTAATAACAAAGATATGCCTTTATATTATCTTCTCTAGAATGGAGGATTTATTTAATTTAGGTATCATTTAAATATATTGTACCTGTTATGATTGTTACGTTCTGTATGTTAAGATTAATCTCTGGACTGTTTACTTGGTGAAACCTAATTAAAAAGTTAGTCATGTATCTTATTGCTTGTTGGACGCGGTTATCTCTGGAATTACCAGATAAAAAATCCTTTTTGAAGATTCTAATCCCATTATTGAGGAAAACTGTACAAGTACAATATTTAATTAGGACCCATGTAGATGTTATAAATGAAATATTAACGTTATCTTTGAAGAAATAAAATTCTCTCAAGATTATTAACTTCATAGATAAAAAATAGCCAGTCGACGTTGATAGACTGCCCACTTTCTTAGTTATTTTTGTTCAGTATATTTATTGCGTGAAATACAATAGCGATATCTAGTTGCAAAGTGGGTGTTGTTTATTTAATTATTGTCCTACAGCTACATACTAAGGCGGGATGACGTTCATTACTCATGTCTTTTGTAATTTAATGTTGCCACTTAATTTTTGTAGCATCTTTTTTACAATGGCAACCAGTAAGGCAGCCCTTTTGTGAAAAAAAATACTTTAACCGATTAAACATCGCTTATGTAGATTGAATTATTTTTGTATATATTGAGAATTTTGTTTCCAAAATTCCGATTGTTGTACCTGTACCCTGTAGATCAAGTATATTCAACCCCTTTTCACCGGGAAATAACAGTAGTGCTACAATGCTTTATTCTAGTTAGTGCGTATATTTATTATTTACGTGAGCCTTTTTAAAATATTTTCTACATACGCACAGTGTGGTATTTTAACGATCTGGGAGGCAAAAATTATTTTGGCGGCCAAAGAGGTTGTAACTATGATATTATGTTAGCATGTAGTATTGTTTTTTATTACAAAGTAAATAATAATGAAAAACGTAATATTTTTGAAAAAAAATTAAAATATTTAATTAAAATTAAAAAATTCTCAATATTTAATCTACAAAAATATTTTAAACAGAAATAATTGCATTTTCCTTAAATGTTTTGACACAGATCAGTCAGAAAATGATTTATCTTCTTGACACAACTCAAAATCATCAGCAGTTCCCTCACTATCCGACTCTGATGCCTCATTGCCACCGTAAGATTCTGCATAAGATTCCATCGGAAGCAACAAGAAAGAAAGAAGGGTTTCTTTTAAGAATGGTTTACTCTTCTTTCTTGAAATATTCCTCATTCCTGTTATTACAGGATCGGAAGTCAGCAGTAACCTGTTGAGCACATCTTGATTGCAAGACACCCTTGAGAATTTTCTCGAAACGTTTTAACGGAATAAACGAAAGTGTCTATTGCGTGCCTCCGCAGCCTCTTCTGACAGTTGCCCGATTGGAAGTAAAGCGTGCTTAATTACATCAGGACTATGGATCAATAATTTATGCATTGTTGGGGTCATAGGACACCATGAGTAAAGTCTTGCCAGAAGCTGACAATTGTATCTGAGCAGCATGAGTCAGCCCATTCAATTCTACAGAGCTTCTTAATTCCTCAGTTTTTTGCCTTTTGCTTCTTTCACCTGATTCTTCGAATAATTTTTTCGGACGCCCCGGCCGGCTAGTTAATTTTGGAATCGTAAATGTATCTCTCAACCAATCTTGATTCCTTTTAATGAAAATTTGCTCTTTATTATATGCCGCAGCCCATCTAGATTTCATTTCGGACTTGAAGCTAGAGAAATTTTGCTTAATATCCTTAATTTGGTCAGCAGTATAATCATCATAACCAATGAGATAATTTTCGATGAAATCCAATTTTTCATTGATATTCGACAAATTTTGTCGCTGCATCAACTCATATAACTCCAATCGAGTCATGATTTTGACTTTGGACCGCCCTACAATAAATAAATTTTCTAAAGATACAAAAAATAATATGTATGAAATAAATAACATTTTCACATTAAAAAGTTTGGACACCCTGTTTTCCAAAAATCAAGTGATTCCGTGACCGTTTTAAACGAAATCTTATACGTCAATGATCAAAGTTTGTTGTACATTCTTTTATTTTGCCGGGAAACACCGGGAAGTATTACTTACTACCCTCGATATTTAAAAATATATGCAAATTATGATATTGTAAAAGGGTTACGTAAATAATATTGTCCAACAGTCATAAAGTAATCGACCCTGTTAAAAATATTTGTTAAGTGTAGACACTAACCTGCCATAACATAATCCATATCACTTCACTTGAAATTATAATCCAAAACAAAATAATTGACTATTATAAGTAAACGATTTTTTTAAATAAAACACAAGATCAATATTTCTTAAATGACAAGGAAATTCCGACTGACCACACAAGTAAATTTTTGCAACTAAGATGAAAATAATGATAGTTTGAGGTGCATTGGTAAGTAAACATTTACGAGATACTTTATACTTCTACCCACATTAAGTTTTGTAAAATGGAAGCGTTTTACCTACCAATAAAACGCATATTAATTTACTTACCTTATTCGAAGCTTATTTAATTGAGATAGGCCTTCTGCTTCCCTCCTTCCGCTTTTTCTATATGTCTATCTCTTTCTACTACGTCACTTCCACTTGGCAGTGGTGGGGAGGCTTGCTAAGAGAGACTCGCTATTTTTATTTCATTGAGTCTCATTACCAGGCAGAGCTTGACTATAAGCTTCGAATAAGGTAAGTAAATTAATATGCGTTTTATTGGTAGGTAAAACGCTTCCATTAATTTGACTTGACCGTTATTCGAAGCTTATTTAATTGAGACGTGTTTGTTATCGCCTGGTGGAAGTGACAGACGCCAATGTGAGGTAGTATGACTGCGGTCGAGGTATGATGTGGTAAAATCACGGAATAGAAAAACTAAGTAAAATAGTAAGTATCTAAAACATACATGTTTTGAAGAAAGGAATTGTAGAAAAACCTATTCTTTATGACATTGTATTTGATCTGAACAAAAACAGATGTAATATATCTCTGAGGTATTTTATTACCTTGTTTCTAATTTTCTGATCGACTTGATTGAATAAAAAGGCAAAGATACACTCATCATCATCATCATCATCATTACTTAGAAAGGATCGCTTCAAAAGGATAACTATCCACTCAATTTTTTCAGGTCACAGCTGATCTGAAACCCTCAGGATGTCTTGGGGGATTACTGATACCTTAATATCGGTTACCGCCAAAAGAAACTTGATCCTGACCGCAATTAGAGTTTTCTATACCGGTTTAAGTTCACGTGTAATAAAACAAAACTTTAACAATTTGCATTATTTTCAAATTTGACACATAACATTACAGCTTACGCCATTAAGTTATGCCTCTTATGGTCTGCTTAGTACCGGGGACTGGATCTAAGCTTTAGAAATTTGGTATACAGGCAGGGTATGGGCCGACTTAGGTGATAGGATGCTTTTTATCCCGATTAAGTGCTCCCTTGGTAGAAATGCATGGGCAAAGTCGCGGGTGAAAGCTAGTTTATTATTATCCAATTAATCAACAGAATTAGTTTTTGATCTAAAACCGACCGAAAAACTAGTACGTCATTATGATTACTGTAATTATTAGAATCATATCGAGCAAAATTAAGTCATGAAATCATCTCCTGGGGTATAGGAGAAATAGAACAGCTGTTTGTTTCTGCACTTGAAAGACTAAGTTTACTGTCTAAGAATCTAGCTAGATCGTTTATGACCCAAACAGGGGATTGACATGGTCAATCACCATTTACTATACGTTTTACATATCTACTTACATTTGAGATTAACTGACTAACTGATGTGT